ACCCATCCTGCGAATGGCCCCACAGATAGCGTAGGTTTTGAACTGGCCGTTGAACCTGCCCGTCACCTTATCAACCTCGGCCACGTTCATCTGGATGGACGCGTGGTCCTTGGCGCCGATGATGCGGTTGCTGGCGGAGCATTTCCGCGGCACGTACAGGTCCACGAACTCGCCGGCGTCGTTCTGCATGTCGAGGGCGCGCCTGCTGCCAGCACCACGAGCTCGAGCGCAGAAAGGAAGCGCTGCGTCCCGCGGCAGCGGTATTGGCGAGCGGGGCGGGGCCTTGGGAAGTGCTCTTCAGCAAGTAGATTAAAATGTCCTTTTGCCCTGGGAGATGAGCTCGTGTCTTGGTGGGCACGGGCCAGGGGCCTGAAGCTTCGGTGGAGATGCTGCGGAAGCAGCCCTGGGAAGGCACATGCATCACTGACATACTCAATGGGGTCCAGCTTCCTTTTAATTTTCCTCTCCCATTCCAGAAAGCTCACCAGGAATCTGTGCTGTCTTGCCAAGCAGAATGGAAAGCTTGGTGGTTTGAAAACAGCCCCTGGTCTCTGTATTGGTTTTTGCAATGATGATCTTATTGAGGAGACTCAAGGGGGAGGAGAGAGGTGTGTGTCTCTTTGGGAAGATGGCAGAAAGCTGAGAAGTTTGGGAATCCTGATCCTTGGCCCTGGAACTCCAAGGTTGGCAAGGTTTTCTGTCTCTGAGTGAAACAGAACCAACTGCTTTTGAGGACTCTCCGTGGTGACCAGTATGGCCAGCAGAACAGAAGGGTGCTCCTGAACATTTGCTCTGTCAAAGCTCTTGGAAGCCTTTTTGTCAGCCTGCAGATGGAGAGACATTTCTAATGATGATTGATGGCCTCAGAATCAGACTTAATTTGATTGGAAGGAAACAAAGCGAGGAGTATTTACATGCAGTAGAGTCTGTGGAATGAAATTCCTCCCTGCCACGTATTAACTGCGCAAATTGGGAGAGGCCCCGAAGGCCAGTGATGTGAGCACAAACGAAGAGTTGGAACTTGCCTCTTGTGAAAGTTTTTAGTTGAAGAAACCTAACAGACAGGAGAGGGAGGAGTGTTACTTTACATGTGACAAAGACATTACATTGTCATTACTATTTCAGGTCACTGCTTTTGGGGGAAAATCTTTGTTTTATTTTAAGATTCTTAGTAGGGTTTATTCTGAGGCTTAGAAAACTCAGGAGAGTCAGGCATTCCAGACAAATGCATTTGCCTTGACAAAACACATTTGCAATAGCTTTCCAACAATGGCCTGGAGACTACTCCCAATTCACATTGGACTTAAAAATATATATATATATTTTTACCCTGTTTTGAAAATGGACCAGGTTTGGGGCACTAATTCACATAGCTACCACACCCACTCTTTCTGCCCAGAGAGTGAGGAGAATGAATGGGTCAATCAGCTGACATATTTCCATCCAATTTCAAGGATAGAATGTGTTCATTTTCTGACTAATGGCATGTCATTTTGCAGAAGCCTTTGGTTGTGAATTAATCCTGGAATCAAAACAGATTTTCCGGGGAGCAATCTTCCATCCAGTATTGATTTTTTTACACTCATGGAGTCTGTACTCCCTAATTTAACCTGACAATGATTCTGCACAATGGCCGGGGAGCACCTTGGCAGCTCACTGAAGGAACTTTTACTGTCTTTTCTTTCTGCAAAGTAGAAGGGAAAAAACCCACGCCAGCTAGACCAGTCAGTCACTGGGGGGCATTTATGACTTGATACTTTACTTCTGGCTATTTGGAATGGGCAGAGAGCTGCCTTCTAACTTTTAAAGAAGTGCTGGGAGAGAGATCTTTGCCTTGCTGAGACAGTTCAAAGGAACATTTTTTTTTTAAACTGCCAATATAAAAGAAATCTTTAATATATCGTTCAGTCATGGCCAATGTTTTCAAATGATGCCATCTTGCTGTGCCCACGAAACACGAGAAAATGAGGAAGGATTTTCCGAAGAGGGGCTTTTGCTTCTGAATTTCAATAAAGTTGGCCGTTCTTTTTTTCCCCTCTGTTTTCTCAAAGGTGCTTTCGGATTCCTATCCTGCTTGGTTCCTATTTGATTCTTGTGAACTCAGCAAAGATTCTTGAGCTGTGCTAGGTTTGAAAAGGGGCCTTACGGAGCTGAATGTGACATAGCTCTCTACTTCAAGGAGCTTAGGATTTGGAAAGTGTGCATAAACAAGCACACTCCACATATGACAGAGACTATAAACGATGAAAGACGTGGATGTGGGCCCATGGGATGTGGGGAATTTGAGGAAGTTTGGAAAGAACATTGTGGAAGAGAAGACATTTGAGTTGGGCCTTGAAGGATGGTGTGTCACAGACTGTTAATAAATGTTTCCTAAGTGTCTAGGTGCGTCCCATCATTTCCCAGTTTCCCTTGCAAGTGGATTGGGATCATGTGACCAGTTCTGACCAATGGACTATGAGTGGCAGAGATAGGAGTCACTTTTACGAGGGGAAGTTGCCCCTCCCCCATCTGGTCTCTTCCCCACCCACAGTGACTCGATAGAGGATGACCTTGCTCTCCAAAACAAGGACTTTTATGAGCAAAACCTAAACTTACATTATCAGCCACCAAGAAATCAGGGTTTATTTGATTTCACAGCATGAGTTAGCCAAACTAATACAGATGAGAAGGAAGGATTACTTAGTGAGAAATGATGTCAAAATCCAGAGTGATGTAATTAAGAAGGTTCATTTATGGATAAGAATTTTGATGGACTCCTGCTCCAAGCTCATAAAAAGTAAGTGCTTAAGTAGCTCATGGGAAACAGTGGCAGGTTTTAAGTGAAGTTAAATTACCTGATTCTTACTGAGTCATTTTTTTTTGAAAGAGGACACATTTATTACAGATGGAAAATATAATCAATAAACTGAATAATGCATTAAGCAGTATTAGTGAGCCCTGAGTCATGGGTATCCTAACAGATTAGGGTAGTTTGGAAATCATATCGCCCGCATTCAACATCTTCAACCTGAATGAGAATAAAATTATCATTAGTGCATTAATTTAACAAGTACCCAGAGTGACAGAAGAAACAGAAATAGAATTTTGGCCCTTGAAGAACGTAGTCTGGTTGTGGAAGCAAGATTCCAAGCACTGTGATGAAAGGAAGTGAAGAGTGCTCAGCACGCGGAAGAGCAGGTCAGAGAAGGCTTTCTGGAATCTGAGAGCTGGGTCCTGGAGGAAGTAGGTTATAGATTGGTGGAAAGAAGGTGAGCAATTAGTCCCACTGGAGTGAGTGAAGGACTGAATGGCCTGGAAATCATGGAGAGTTTGTGGGAAAGCAATCCCAAGTGCTCTAATCAAAGAAGGAGGGGATCTAAAGAAGGGAATTGTGGGAAATTCTCCCTTCCCAACTTTCCCCCAATATCTGTTGTTTCTCACTGACCTGGCGATCTCATGAAATGTGACACATAGTTGGCCATGACCATGCTACACTTTGAAGAGTGGCCATCCTGCCTATTAGATTTGAGCCTTCTTTCTTTCTCACCATTGGGTGTTATTGCTTGTGACAGCCATAAAATTACTCCATTAGGGCCAACTACGCATCTTACCTGCATGATGGCCTGCCACGGGTAAGAGGATGGCCTTACCACCACGTTGTACTGCTTCCTGGTGCTGTGACCCTCGTGAGCGTTAGTTTCTGCACATGTAAAGGGAGAATTAAATTAAATGATTTATATAAAGCATTTAGGAAAGTAATGGCTTAAGATAGATTCTTAGTAATTGATAACATTATTATTACTCATCTATTGTTTTCATCCTTAAATCAGAATGCATTTGTGATCCTCTAGAAAACTCTTTTGGTTGATGATAAAAAATGAAAATGGACTTTGTCCTAAAACTATTGCAGGTCATGCTTACATGCCTACTAGAAATCCACATTTCCAAACTGTTGAGAACAAAGCTATGACTAATATTTATGGCTTTTAGCATTCATTTTTCCCCCTGCTTTTTCCTTTCTTATTATCACCAATGAAGCTGTTTCCACATGTTCCACAAATGAGAAATAAACATACTAATTCATATTTTTGTTTTGCTTTTGTTTGTTTTTTAAAGTTATTTATTTATTTGAAAGAGAGAGAGAGAGAGGGAAAGAAAGCACAGAAGGAGAGGGAGAAGCAGGCTCCCCGCTGAGCAGAGAGCCCGATGCGGAACTTGATCCCAGGACCCTGGGATCATGACCCGAGCTGAAGGCAGTTGCTTAACTGACTGAGCCACCCAGGCATCCCAACATACTAATTCATGTTTAATAATTTTTTGAAAATTCCCTGTTTTCAAAAATGGGCAAGATACATCAATTATTATTTTGGAAATTCTTGGAAATTCTATCTTCCTGTCTTGGTGCCTGTGGGAGACAGTCCATTTCTTTCACCTCTGCCTTGACCTATTATGGGAGAAAGCTACAGTTACCATGCCTTTTTTGTTTCACTTTAGCAACACAATGTTCAATTAAAAAAGAATAGATCAAATGTTATTTGAACAAGGGAACAGGACAGAATGAGTTTTGAGGAGGTTAAACTACGGGTTGTAACAAATGGTCATATAAAATCCCTTGTGTTTGAAACAGTGATTGAAATGGCACAATTCAACAGCTTTACACAGATGTTGTTTTAAGGAAGAACTCTTTTTTCCTGCCCACAAATTAAAGGAAACTTCTGCTCAGTTGAAAGAATGCCACTTTTTTCTTCCTTTTAACTTTTTTTTTTTTAAATCAAAGTGTGTCTGTACGTTAGTGAAGCGCTTTAACGACCTTCGCTGTGCATGATCCCAAAGTGCTCTATTATACCCAAGTGCCATATGGAGACAAACGGCACTTTTCATAAGTGTAAATTCCGAACTTTCTCCCTTTTAAAAACATATCAGTGATTCTACTGCAATAAAGATATTTAGATTTGCGTGAGACCACTTTTTGATTCTTGAAAGATGGCAACATTTTATATTTGGGGTTTGAGCGGTGTTTTAGAATCAGTCGCCATAGCAGCGAGAACAGCTAATTATTCCTCTGAGCCTGCAACGTGGGAGTCATTTGCAGGGCTGTACTCACTGGTTATTATTATTTTATTTCTTTTCCCCTGACTTCCAGGTCTGAGTGACTGTTAGAGAACACATATGACATGTAATCTTCATTGGCCATGTAGACCTCCATGTTGAGAAATTCTAGAAGCCTTGGAAAGTTGGAAAAGTGTCGCTCTGTGCTTCCAGTAGAATGGATGGAGACCTTCTACAGATGATTCT